ATTGGATAATCGACTATCAGCCTGTGTCTCTGAAAAATTTGTCTTCATCCTGTTGGAAATTCTAGCAACGGTTTTATCCCATTTTGGGCTATAAAATGGCACCCAAATCCTCTCATTTTACACACAATTCTTCAACATTTCAATACTCTTTCATTGCATAATCATTCCTATTTTTCTTAGCTATTTGAGAACCTATTCTTGAAGAAATTGTCGTGTTCTTGAGCGTTTACTTGTTCACTCATATCTACTCTTTGTGAGAGTTTTATTCCTGAGTGTTTAAGTGTTTTTATACAATTTAAGGGAGGTTGTTCCCTTGTTGTAAACTCGAAGGAAGTTCGTTGTTCCTTCGTGAGAAGTCTTGGAGTGCGGTATCTCTGAGCAAAGGCGTTGAGGCTCGTGTGACTCGAGTTCTCAAGTTGTATCGGTTTGTTGAGCACCCTTAAGGTTAACAGAGTTAGTGTAGCTCGAGAGAGTCTCTCAGGAGGCTTGATTAGCCACACGTTGTGGTGAACCAGGATTGTTGTACCCGAGACCCGGGGTGGTCTAGGATATCAATTTAAGAAGAGAAAAAAGAAGAGAAGGTGTAGAAATATAGAGGAGGCTGAATTCAGGAGAAAACAAGGGAGAGGGAAAGAAGCATTTATCAAGTGAATAATAAGAGGAATCACACACACTTATCTTCACTCGGGTTAACTCTAGTTATTTAAATAAGGAATCACTCAACTTATTTAATATATCTAGAACCTAAAACTCCCACTTAAGAGAACCACTCTTAAGATATAGAATTAGGATTTAATATATAGAAATTAGAAAGAGAGAACTGAGCAAGAAACTTATATTATCACAATATATTTTACAAGCTGATTATACATTGATCCAGGGCTGAAATATATAGGCTATGGGATGGAGAAAACAATACAACAATGATAAATAAAATACAACAAAGGAAACTTCCCACTTCTTTCCTACAAAATAAAACAAATGCTGTGCATGTGTTAATATCCCAAATGAGTTGAATTCTTGGCTAACGATCAGGGATTTTGGCATGTATTTTGAGTGGTTTTATGTATGATTTTCGTCCTTAGGGTGAA